GGCCCAGCGGCCTCCCGGGAGAGGCCCTGCAGGCCACTGGCAAGGAGCCAGAGCTGCCCCGGTTGGGGGGAGCGTCCATGAGTGAGCAGGGGCCTCCCGGTGGACCTGCGGGTCAGTCTCAGGTGGTCACCGCGGCAGCCGAGTCCATCCCGGCCGGGGCGCAGCAGACCCTCCTCCCTGCGCTCCCTCAGCCGTGGGCCTCAGTGGATCCACCTGTTCTGCCCCCCATTATCTCTCTGGGGAGCCCCCTCGGTGCCCCCCCACCTCTGGCCTGCACCCCAGTTCTTCTACAGTGCGTAGGTAAGTTGAAAGATCAGTGTAGGGGCTGGCGCTGTAAACATACACGAGGATTACGGAAAATGGGGCGCCTCTCCCGCAGGATTCCATGTGGATGGCCCTCGTCAGGGGTCCCCCAGGCCTGGCAGGAGCCTCGGGGCGCCGCGACGCGCTGTGGCCTGCGGGTGCCCTGCGTGAGAGTGGCAGCCGGACCCCTGCAGCGCCCCACTGCCCCGCCCGGCCTGGCCTCAAGGACCAGCCCAGAGCCCTGGGGTGCGGGGGAGGCTGGGGGCAGCGTCTCGGGGCTGGGAAGCTGCGCCCAGAAGGTGGGCTCGGACCTCTGCAGAGCGTCTACAGAGCGGCTTCTTTACGCGCAAGGGAACAGGCCTGGCCATAAAGTAAACTCCCCTCATTTCCAGGGTCACCCCGCTTGGCTGGAAGGCCGAGCGCACGCGCAGGCCGGCTGGGGCACTACAAGGTCTACCCGACCCTGCGCTGTGAGTGACCCCCGCCCCGCCCGCGCCCCGGGCCCCTCGGCGCCACGCTTGGGGCGGGCGAGGGGCGGCGCTGGGGGCACCGGCCGACCGCAGGGCCCCGCGCCAGGCCCCGTGTTCGTGGTGCAGTGGCTGTTTGACGAGGCCCAGCTGACCGTGGACAACGCGCACCTCGCTGGGCAGCCGGTGCAGGAGGCCCAGTGGCTGTACATCCAGAGCCTGGGCCGCGAGCTGAGACACACGCTCAAGGACGTGCCGTGAGTGGGGCTGCTGAGGGGGCCGGGCGCTGCGGTCAGGGGGCCCCGGGCATGGCCCCATGTTGGGGGGCCCGGTACGTCTCCACATTGGGGTCCCGGGCATGGCCCATGTTGGGGCCCCGGCACAGCTGGTCGGAAGGAGCTAGCCTGGGGGCCCCACGGCGGCGCCAGCTGTGGCCTGGGGAGGGGCGGTGAGACCAGGGGGGCCAGCAGGCGGCAGGTGGACCCCGAGGCTCTGCCTGGGGCACGTGACGTCACCACTCGCCCTGCCCGGGCCGCGGGCCTGCGGTCCACGCTGGTGGGGAGGAGGCCGGGTGGAGGCGCCGGGTGGGCCGGGGCCACGCATCCTTGTCCCCACAGGGCCAGCTTCGCCCCCGCCTGCCTCTCCCACGAGATCATCATCCGGAGGTCAGTGTCCTGGGGCGGGGCTGTCCCAGCCTGAGGCCCCGCCCACCCGGCCAGCCCTGCGTGGCCAGAGGGCTCGGGCCACCCCCAGGGCGCACCAGTCCCGCTGGCCCGTCCCCAGCGCCCACCTGGGTTTCGTCTGCAGCCACTGGACAGATGTCCAGGTGAAAGGGACCTCGCTGCCCCGCGCGCTGCACTGCTGGGACAGAAGCCTGCACGAGGGCCACAAGGCCGGCCAAGGCCCCCTGAAGGGCTGCCCGGTGCACCTGGTGGACAGCTGCCCCTGGCCGCACTGCAACCCCTCCTGCCCCACCGTCCGGGACCAGTTCACGGGGCAGGAGATGAGCGTGGCCCAGTTCCTCATGCACATGGGCTTGGACGCGCACGCGGGGGCCCAGCAGCAGGGCCTGGGGCCTGGCAAGCTGCTGGGGCTGCTGAGCAGCGGGGGCTAGCCCCCCCGGGCCTCCAGGTCCCCCAGAGGACCCCCCACGCCTCCAAGACCCCCCAGCCCCCCGCAGGCCTCCAGGACCCCCGACACCCACCCCGGGCCTCCGGGACCCCTCCGAGGCCCCCCCAGAGCCCGCCCCCACCCCGCGGGACCCCCTGCAGCCGCCACCGCCCCATGCCAGCTCTCCTGCCAGTTTGTATTATTTTATAAAGTGACTTTTTTTTATTACTTTAACTTTTTTAAAGGAAACAAGCAAGAAATATATCATCAACGGTAACACTTTGAATCGCGCTTTTTTCAGTAACGAGAGAAAAAAGCCCTCGGAGCGCCCACCCGCCACCCTATTTCAGAGCCCGACTCCGGCGCAGCGGCCCCTGGCCCCGTGCCAGCCCGGCCCTTCCGCGGACAGCCTGCCGGGCACGCGCTGGTGGCCCCACA